CTCCCTGCTGCTGGCACGGGAGCAGGGGTTCCTGTGGTTTTCCCTTCTGGAAAAAAGCTGAGTAGCAGCCCGGTGCGGCGGCGCGGCGAGGGGAGCAGCGCGGGTGCGTGGCCTCAGGCTCGCCGCGGCCACCTTTCTTCCCCCTTGCTGCGGGGGGAGTCGAGTCGCCCTGCATTTGGTTGCTGGGCCGGTTGAGAGGCCTGAAGGCATAAACGGGCACATCTGGGGCGTCAGCTGGGAAATACTGATGTGAAACAACCGTTTCCGTCCGAAGCAGGAACAGGTCCATTCTGCTGCTCTGGTTTTTTTCTCTAGCCCCGCAGAGAAGGACTTGGGGGGGAGGGGGTTCTGGTGGTTGAAAAGGTGGACGTGGACTGGCAATATGCACTTGCTGCCCAGAAAGCCAACTGTATCCTGGGCTGCATCAAAAGCAGCGCAGCCAGCAGGCTGAGGGAGGTGATTCTGCCCTTCTGCTCTGCTCTGCTCTGGTGAGACCCCACCTTGCAGTGCTGTCTCCAGCCCTGGGGTCTCCAGCACAAGAAAGACACGGACCTGTTGGAGCGGGTCCAGAGGAGGGCCACAAAAACGGTCAGGGGGCTGGAGCACCTCTTCTGTGAAGAAAGGCTGAGAGAGTTGGAGTTGTTCAGCCTGGAGAAGAGAAGGCTCCAGGGAGACCTTATTGTGTTCTTTCAGTACCTAAACGGGGCCTGTAGGAAAGATGGAGAGAGGCTTTTTACCAGGGCCTCTAGTGATAGGACAAGGGGCAATGGTTTTAAACTGAAAGAGGGTAGGTTTAGATTGGACATAAGGAAGAAATTCTTTACTACGAGGGTGGTGAGGCGCTAGAAGAGGTTGCCCAGAGAAGCTGTGGGTGCCCAGTCATTGGCAGTGTTCAAGGCCAGGTTGGACAGGGCTTTGAGCAGCCTGATCTAGCGTGAGATGTCCCAGACCACAGCAGGGGAGTTGGAAATAGATGATCTGTAACCATTCTGTGCTTCTACAGTTGTAATAACTAAGAAAATGGCACACTGTATAAATGAAGCCACATTCTGTGAATAGTACATACCCGAATTTTACTTTGTTAAGCACAATGTGAGTGAGCTGAGAGATTGATGTGATGCGTTTAGGTCTGGGATTCAAAACTGGCAATTCCGGCTTGGTTGCATTTGTGTTGCTGGCATTTGGGGTTGTCAGCTGTAGATCTTGGTGCTGGCAGCATCTTCAGATGTTGAGAGCAACTGGGGACGCATTTTCAGTCTTGGAGCATTCCCTTGCCTCATGGAGAACTGTTAGCTTGCTGCAGCTGGGAGCGCCCGTCCTCTCAGGAAGGTGGTGAAACGGATTCCCTCCTGCAGGACTAGGCTGCTGTTGAGGTACAGGCTGTTACAGGAACTACTGATGGAGTAGTTATTGTTTTTTTTCCAGGAGTTAGTGGAGCAGTGAGGGTGTCCTGCGTACTGCTGCACCGGAGAACTTAGTACTGCGTGTAAATACCAGAATTGGCGTTTTAAGTTTCATATTAGGGGATCTGTGCAAGTAAAAGCATCTTAATAAATGAGAGCATTTACTTTTGGGAGTAAAGCTGTCGTTTGTACTAGCAAGTGAAAGCATCAGCGTGCTCTAACTCCTCGTGCATTGGGTTCGCAGACTTGCTCAGACGTGCCCAGCGTCAGTTTGCGTTGGCAGGCTGTGGTGCTACGGGGCTTGGTGCTAGCTCATTGTCAGGATGCTTAATTTGGCTTCTCAGGCAGGGTTTTACTGCTCCCTGGTGCTCTGGGCTGCTCTGGGGGATGAAATGCTGGTGCAGACATAATACAAGTGTGTCTGCACGTACTATGGTGTTACACCTACCATGACTTGATTTTTGCTTTAACTTTTCTGAGAACTTAGTAGATAAACCCTTTGTGAATTAGCTTTTTTATTTTTGCATAATGATACGGGAACATATGATCTACCTGGAAAAACAAAGTAAATGACTTCCAACGCTAAAAATAAATGTCTGCACTTTGATGAAAGAATCCTTTTTATTCTACATAAACCACAAATTTGAGAGCTCTACAGAGATGGAAGCAGAACCCAATAGTTTTAGGTTTTGGTGTAATTGCATAGCATCAACAGAAAGGCCTAACAATGTTTCTTCTCTTCTGTAAAGTTCGTTTTGCTAAACCTGGCCATTCAAAATACAGTATGGAGACCCTGACAGAGGTTGAGATGTGGGCTGCTGCCACGGCGTGGTGAGCATCACTAGATGCCTGGCACTGCCACAAAATTTAGCACAAAATTGTTCCCTGAGGGCCTGAGACCTCAAGCAGGTGTCCTCACTTCATGTTCCTAAAACCTGCTCCACCTACAGGGGAGTCTGCTCTGGGTTTTTCTGTTTCTTTGGAAGCTGCTGTAACCATCCTGCCGATTGAATCACCCTCGCCCACCGGACCTGGTTACATATTCCTGCTTCCCTCACAGTGATCTCTTCTTTCACTTGGCCTCCCTCTTCCCGTGCCCCGTTTCTGTGTGTTTTCTGTTCACTGTATTCTTGCGTAGCCCTTAGTGCGTGCTGTTAGACTGGTGTCAGTGTCTCCTCACTGCAGCAGCTGCCACCTCTGTAGGTCCTGCTAAAGCTTTAGTCTGGTAATTCTACAGCTGTGTAGACACTGGGTTTATGATGTGTAAGCCAGCTTGAAAGGAAAGCCTGCCTTAACGCACCTCACCCCCTGTGTTTAACTGGTTGGGTTCTGCACTTGAGATGCCATATGCCCTCCTCCGTCGTGCTCTGGCTGGAAAGTCAATGGGAAGTCCTCATCGTGCTTTTTTTTCCCTAATGTTAATGCATTCAAGGAAGCGTAATAGGGTACAAGTTTCTGATCCTGTCTCCTCTCTCCACCCCTTTTGTGTGTTACCATTAAATCTCTTAAAGCTGAGTTAATTTTTTTAATAATTTGCAGATGTGGCTACAGAAGGCCAGCCTACCACAGGTTCTTTGTGTGGGTGGATTCCTGCATTTGTAAAGATCTGGTGTGTGGCCAGTGGGTTCCATCGCATGGTTTTTGGTATCAACTCTGCTGTGGGATTTGAGCTGCTGTGAGCAATGGCTCCCAGTAGAGCCCTTTGGAGTTTGCTGAGGTTTGATAGAGGATTAGAGGCCTGCTGTGGGCTTTCCTTTTTCTGCTGCTTGGAGCAAATAGTGATTATCTGGAAGCAGAGCTGTTCCCAGTGTACTCTCATATCCCACTGGGGAGGGCAAGTGGAACTGCTCTGTGCCCATGAGCTTTTGTGATTGTGTTACCGGTTGACTGCTTTGGTTCTCTCTCCTCTTGTACAGGAACATGCCCAAGAAAGGAGGGAAGCATGCTGAAATGGGAAAAGAGATGCAGGCACAATGTAAACGAGCAAAGGTGGAAAAAGCTTGTTCTCTGTCAGTCATGAGTTTCGAGAGCCCGGACAGCCTCTTCGGAAGCTTGATCTCTCCCATCAAACAAGAGATGTTTTTCAGGGAGTATTGGGAGCAAAAGCCACTGCTCATTCAGAGAAATGATCCTCTGCTGGCTGCTTACTACCAGTCCCTGTTCCAGTTGTCAGATTTGAAGGAACTGTGCAGCCAGGGTCTATACTATGGGCGAGATATAAATATCTGCAGATGTGTGAATGGAAAAAAGAAGGTTTTAAATAAAGAAGGCAAAGTGAATTACATGCAGCTGAAGAAGGATTTTGACCAGAAAAAGGCAACAATACAGTTTCATCAGCCTCAGAGATTTAAGGTTGGATCGTTTCATTGAGTATAATTAATACGTGTTTTATGATGTTGTATACTTTGCTTGAATCATACTAGACACAGCTTCATCTCTGGCCCCAGTAAATCCAGGGGGAAGTAGCTGATACTGATGACCTGCTGAAATCCATACATGAACTGTATTAATTAAAACATGGTTTGTATTTTTGCACTGCCCGTCATGTTTTGGTGCTCTGCAGCAAGAACAAAATCTGATTCATGCTGTAATATTAATCATTCCTTTTAAAAAAATTGCTTTGTTGCATAAATGTTTAGAAAAAACTAAATGCACAAAACTGATGATTATCCATCTGTGCCTGCTTAAATTATCCCTTCTGACCCACTGTTTCCTTGTGGAAACAGGGGCTTTTGTACCCCTTTCCTTTAATGGAGGGCAAGGTGTGAAAACATTTAAAGTATTTCCAGGATGCCCCACTGCTCTTGTCAGTGGTTTGGCTTCGAATAGCACCGCAGAAGTGGTGCATCACATTTTAGCTGAGTGCCCTCCCTCTTTTGTTCGTTTCAATGCTTTTGCAATCATCATGTATTGAGAATGAGGCAGTGGTGTCCGCACAGTTGCCTGGAGGACTCAGATGCTTCAAGGTACTTGGATTTAGGTAGTCCTTTTTTGTCCCATAGTGTCAACACAGTTTGATTGTGAAGTGGTCCATAAGGACCCAAATGCACAGCTGAGTTGCAGGTATAGTGTCGCTGGCTGATCTCAGTTTGAGTGTAGCTGTAATGGCCAGCGGCAGGGGCACCTGCAAGGGAAGTTGAATTGTTGCATGGCTTGTGCTGAAATCTAGAGCTTGAGCTGAACCTGCATAAATTCTGGTTGAAGCTGCATTTGCACAGCTCTGGTAGTTGGCATCTTCTGATGTGTGAGTTATCCCTTTGGTGCATCATCTGCCACACGTTTGATGTGGACAAATAAAGTTTGTTCTTGAATATGCCCAGACAATTGGAGTCACGGGAAAATGGTCTCTAACCTTTGTAAGGCTCTCTTTGATGCTCACCTGTATAGTGCAAGTCCTGCATGTCTTTATCATCTTAAGATGTTTTGCTGTTTGTGGGGTGATGGGTGGTTTATTTTGCTCTGTCTAGCTTTGTTTGTCTGTTTTTGCAACCTAAAAATGGCACAGGGAAGAGAACAAACATCAACGCTATGTTGGGGCACCAGTTTTCTTGGCTTGCCAATTACCTTCACGGCAGATCTTCAGCTGGCAGGGCTGCGCAGCAGCCTGGTTTGGCTGAGCATTTCTGTAGTAAAAGCATCATTTCTTTTTAAAGGAGGAGCTGTGGAAGATTCAGGAGAAGCTGGAGTGCTACTTCGGGTCTCTGGTTGGGTCGAATGTTTACATTACTCCCCAGGGGTCACAGGGCCTTCCCCCTCACTACGATGATGTTGAGGTAGGACAGCACAACCTTGTTGGTGAAACCATGCATGGGCTTTTGCTAGTGGCAGTGGATACCTGTACATGTTCTTTTTCCCCTGTCTGTCTCATAAAATAACTTATTATAGAAAAATGTTTTTTCCACTCAAAAACTCATGGTAATAGTTTGCAAGTGTTTCTCTGTAGTAATTTTTTCCTGTATAATTTTACTGAAAAGGAACTAATAGTAATATCTAGTGGTAATACCATGTAAACTGTGCTTTCCAGACCTCGTATTTTCATGAGATGAAAAGAGAATTTGTTTTCCCAGCTGCAGAAGCTTTCTAGCACCTTTTTTCCGTTTTCACTTCATTCAGACCCCCAAGAATCTACAAGTCCTTTTTCCTTTATTAAGTACTTGCTCTTTCTTCAACTGGACAGAAGCAGACTGGTTGTGCTGGTTTCTATTTGCTGGTCCTACTGTTTTTGAGAAGTGGTTGGTATGATGAAATCCTGTTGTCCAAATGCATTTTAAATTAGCTTCTGAAAGAAATATTCAAATAAACACTACATTAAATAAAAAGTTGGGCTGTCCCACTTAAACCAAACCAAAAAACCCCTTACATGTTTTTTTTTGGTTTTATTTTTTTTTTTTCATTTCCATTAAATAAATCTGGAGTTTCATTTTCCTTACGCTTCTTGTTAAACAGCCCCACACCCTGCATGTTGTGGCGTATGTCACGAAGTCCCAGCTCACAGCATCCCCCAGGTGTTTCTGATGCTTTCTTTGTCAGTGAATGGTGACAAGACGTCTCTCACCCAATATTTTGAGTATCTGTGTGACAGACATTACTTTGGAGTTAGTTGTCTGGCACCTATTTAAGTGACTGGAGAGAAACGGGGATTTCCAAATGCCTACCTTAGGATAAAACAGATCACACTTCACAACTCTTCCCTCTGTTGTCCCTAAGTAGAGCCTAGAGAAACAGTACAAATGTAAATTTCTGCATTGTAGTTGTCTAAAAATTAATGTGAGAGGAATCCTGCTTGGCATGCTGTGGAGTAGCTGAGAGCAGGGAAGGCAAAATCTGTTTCTTGTTGTCAGAAAAGGAACCCGTATCTCTTCTGGTTGCTTTCTAGCCCTGATTTCTGGCATGGTTCCACAGACTTCCCAAGTAAGAAGATGACTTAAAATTTCTGAGCAGTTGGATGTGTGAGGGGCAGCAAGGCTTCCTTATGCATTTGGATTTATGGTCTTTTGCAGGTGTTCATCCTTCAGCTAGAAGGCGAGAAACATTGGCGACTTTATAAACCAACGGTGCATTTAGCTCGGGAATATAATGTTGAATCAGAAGATAGGATTGGGAATCCCACACATGAATTCATACTAAAGGTATTAATTGAATTGCTTGACCTGGTCCGGGCTATGGTTGCCAGAAAAGTAGTCATGTTTAAAATGGTCAATTTCTTGAAAACAGTATTCTGGATAGTGGTTGTGAAATTGAGGGGAGGGTTGGTGCACAAAACACTGTGAGCATGAGAAATTTGGGTGATAGTTGTCTAACCTATCCTTTTTCAAAGGTATCCTTTGTTTTAGCGTTTAAATAATGGACCAAGAAACCAGTTATTTCTGGAAATTCTCCAATATCCTCCAAGTTGGGCACCCTGACTCCTGGATCATGTTTGTGGCGTGGTGTGCAGAAAAAACATTGCATTTATGTATGGTTATGAAACATTTTTATGCTTTTACATGCTGTCGATAATCAGTCAGGCTAATCCTTCTATGCATTAAGAATTAGTGCTTCACCGAAGGTTGTCACTGTTCTGGTGAATTAGTTTTAAAATATTTATCCTTGGCTGATAAACAAAAGCGTGAACTAAACCCCCTATTAACTTGCTGTGTTAATTGTTTTTTTCTTTTTCCAAACCTGAAAATGAAGTGTTTGGCTGTTTTTTGTTATTTGGAATAAAAAGAGCGTTTTGTGAAGATTAATGAATGTAGCTTCTTTGACAGCAGGGCATCTGGTACTTGTCCCATTCTGTTTTACATGCTTGTGCTTTCACAGCATGTTATTTATCCAGCAGACGGGGCTGCTCTGTGTCGGAAGCCTCATTAGTTTCTCTGCCTTGTGTCCTGGCTTCAGGCCTCTGTCTGCAAGGTCTCTGCTCTTCCTGGTGTTCAGACCTGCCTTTGGGTGTAGGTAGTTTGGGAATAGTATGACACATTGGATATGGTACTGACATCACTAGCTGTGTAGTTTGACAGATGGTAATATTCATTTGTCATGGTGTATTGGGTGATGCAGAGTCTAGTAAATTACAGTTTCCTTTTCACTTCTGGAATATTTTGGGCTGGACTTCAGTGCCTTTGATTTTTATGGAATAATGATGTATCCCACAAGCCATTTTACTGACATTACTGGAGTGAAAATACTGGCCTCTGAAAAGAGCTTAAAAACGATCTAAGTTTTTAATTTATTTTTCTTCTGTTTGATGTTCTTCATTTCCCGTGACCCATTTCTTTCTGGACAGCTGCTGTCAGATTTTGGTTGTTTGTCTGGAGCTGTCTCTGATGGGGTTGCTGTCAGATGACTCTTACTTCCTCCCTAAACATCTTTCTAGAATCTTTCCTTTTTCCTTTTCTGCACTTCTGTCTGTTGTCTGCCATCCTTGGGAAGTTTAGAACAAATGGACCAGATAGAGGTTGTATTGGTGGTGGTATCCCTTCCCACCAAAACTGGCAGCTGACTGAGAGGAAAGCTGTTTTTTGTATAAGGTCCCAAGCTGCAGTGTGTCTTGGTGACGCTGCATCAGGCTCTGGCCACAGCTGGTTTGTTACTGATGTTGAGCACAGAGCTTATTTGGTAGCTGGCTGTCTAGCCTTCTTCATATATGATTTTCCATTCAATTTACTGATACTTCTCCCTTTTCTGCCCCTCCTTCCTCCAATTCAGAAGTCAGAAAGCGGCAAAGTGATTAGATCTGCGTTGTCTTTTGTCAAATGCTCTGTCTTGCCCCAGTCTGGGTGTTGCCACCTGGACTCTGTGAAGATTCTGATTATTTTAATTGAAGAGTGTTGTGCTTGCTGGCTCATGTGAGTGGTGTTGATGAGAGTACCCAACAGTTAAGTAAGAGTTGGACTTTGCAGCAAAGACTGCTTTGAAAAATCACAGTCCTGGCTTTTTAGTGGTAGGCATGGGGTGCTACAGCATGAAATAATTTCTTTTGCAGACTAGTTTGTCATCACTCTGGTAGGTAGGTGTTCAGGGCTCTTGCCTTTCCCTTGTGCGACCCTCCCTCCGGTTTGTTTTCTTGCTGGGAACGTGAAACAGCAAATGAAGAGAATTCAAAATGCTTTTAGTTGGTTAGTGTAGTCTCTACACTGGTACGGAAGGCAGTTTGTTAAGGGCAAAGAGAGGCTTGCTTTCAGAACAAGCAAATCTTACGTAGCAGATCTGTGATGCTTTACAGCTTGTTGATCTTGCCAAGTCCTGTGAAGCCTCATCATCTAAAGAGACCTTTAAATTCAGTGAAAAATCAAGTAGTATTCCATTGAAATGTATCTATCTGTGTTATTTGGTAGGCTCTTAGAAGTAGGTGATGTGACCAAATTTAAGGAATGGTAAAATTAAAATGGAATCAAATTTCGTCATTGTTCCTGTATGAATTTTCTCTTTGACTGTGCTAACCAACTATGTAGATGTTTATAGAAGCCATAAGTAAACTGATTTTTCCTTCTTGGAGGAAATTTTGTGTGCTTTGCACTTCTCTCTTATCTTCACTTTCCTCATCAGCATGGAGTTTTAATTTAGACAGGTGAGAAGAAAGATAGGGAGGAGGAAGGTTGTACTTGTTTTTTCAGACAGCAGTATTGTAACAGATTACCATCTGTATAGAACACTTGGCTTTTCTTGAGGAATACTGTCCTGTCCTTTGATGTCATCTGGCCAAATTCACGTTGCACTGCTCCTCTGCTAGCCCGCTGTATTGTCAGCAGGCGTAGTTTATCTCAGCTGCTTTTTTGTCCCCTTTACACAGCTGAGTTAGAGTGCGCATGTTCTGTAATGTTAAAAGGTCGCTTGGTGTTTTCAGACAGGTGTATAGTCAATATTGACAGTAGGTTGGAAAGTTTAAGGTATCAGACTTCTGGCTTAGAGTGCTTTATTTTATATTATTAAAGTCTACAATGGAGGTTCTCTATTTTGTGATTTTTAAAAAATCTATGTTATCAGTCTGTCTGCTTAAGAGTATTTTCTCTATTTTGACTATGGTAAGGTTTGACTAGGTGCCCTAACTCTATCAATTCTCTTTCATTTTCTTGCAGCCAGGTGACTTGCTGTACTTCCCAAGGGGGACTATTCACCAAGCTGACACTCCTCTTGGGATCTCTTATTCTACACATGTGACCATCAGTACCTACCAAAACAAGTAATTATTCTTTACTTTTTTGTTTAGTATGGCTTTCTGAAAATGGCTTTCCTCTGCTGGATGATGTGTGTGAATAGTACAGACCTGAAACCAGTGTTTCAAAGAAGTGATGTCCTGTTTCTTAAAAAAATAACCACCTTGTAGTGAGCTCTGCTTAGCTCTTTCCAGTGTTAGTTCTATTTAGCCCTTGTGTGGTTTGTTTTCCTGTGAGTAATGCAGGGATAGGGCATGTCACCTTCCCGCCAGAGATGTGGTGACACGGAATATATGTAGGTACCCCACTATTATGTGTGTGCCCTGCTGTTAGTAACAGAACCTAAGCTAGTGTACAGGTAGCAGTAATTGAAGTTTTGGGATTTGGGGGGAGGAGGGGAACGAGACCCTCATCGTCTGAAGCAGCCTGTTTACCAGGTTTTCATGCAGCAAGCTTGATTGATTTTTATTTGGTATTTTACTACTTACCAGCTGTAAACTTAAATGTGGAAGATAATGTTACAACTGCAAACTCACTGTTGTGTTCAAAAAATCTCTCACCAGTGGCTGAAGTTACTGTTCGTTTCGTAACCCAGATAGAGTCGTGAGTTACTCCTTTCATTGGGTTTCCTCCTGCATTTGATAGTCACCCACACCTATTCTGACAGACTCCCTGCAAGTTCTTCCTTCGCAAATATTTTCTACTTTTCCATCTTCTACCCTGTGTGTGCAAGTCAGATTTCCTTTGACACACATCTGATCCTTGTGCCCACTGAAACGTTGTTGTCACAAAGGGAAATGCTGCTGCCTCCTAATCAGCCTTGCAGATGCTGGGCGTGGAGTCATTGGCCTGGGTTAGGAATTGGGAAGGATTTCTGCTCGCTGCAGAACAAGTTTGGGCATATTCTAAATGATTGTAAGAAAGATGAATATCTGACCACCAGCTGTACCATTCTACAAGCCCAGGATGCCAGTACTGCTGGTAACTCTTAATGTGGCCAGTCCTCCCAAGTTGGAGAGAGGGTTAGGATGAAGCCACTTAAAGGTGTGAGTCTTCATTAAAACTGGGTTCCACTGATTTTAATTTACAGTCATGTTCTGTTCTTTCATTCAGAAGGCAAAAACCCCTGTTTTCTGTAAGCATTGACTGCTGTTGCAAAGAAAGTTTAACTTCATTTGTTAGGCAGGAGGCCGTATTAGTGCTGAGCTGCTTTGGCAAGTGTGATGGCACATTCAGGGTGATCAGCGGTGAGTGGCCTCCAAAGAGACGTCCTGCTCCTCCTCCCTTCCCTTGCCTTTTTTTGCTCCACCACTTCCTTGTGTTGACCTGTGTTCCCAGGGGGCTTGTGTCTGAGTGAGGAGAGGAAAAAGGAAAAGCTTGAAGAGTGCTGTTTTTCTAAGGATAAAAAGTAGAATCGTCATCCGTTAAGGTCATTAGTGAAGTGTAAGAGCCTGCCTCTGCACCTGCTTTCAGCAAGCGTAGGTAAAATAAGCAACAATCCCAAGACATGCTGGTGTTTTCATTTGGCTTGTAGATGGAAGTAGGGTGTGGAAACATTTCCTTGGAAAATTGAGGAGAACTTGAAAGTAGGAGGATGTTTGGAGTCCTTGTGACTGCTCAGGAAGTGGGATGTGCAGAAGGAGCTGGGAGGGGAGGAGGTGCTGGTGGAGGTGGCACTTTCAGGGATTTTTAGACACCAAGACAGTAGAACATTTGAGTGGAGACGATTAAAAAAATAATCTAGATGAGAGTATAACAAGTCATACGTTTTTTTAAAATTTTTTTTTTTTTATTTTTTAAACTAAAGTACTGTCTAGAGATCAGTGCTCAAAACAGGGAGTCCTGAGGGGAGAGCAAGAGCCGAGGGTGAAGTGTATGTTGGAGGCCAGGCCCTGCTCTGTTGCCTGCCCTAGTTGGGTGGGAGTCTGCTGGCGGCCTCGGATGCTGGGCGCTTGCCCTGGTTGTTTGCCCATTAAACCAGCCTCTGAGGATGTGGTAGGGCGAGAGGGCACGTGTGGGCAGGACGGCACTTTTGCGTGAGCGGCAGCACCTGGTACTGAGGACGTTGACTCACGCGAGGCAAGGAGGGTGCAGGCAGCAGTCCTCCCTCCCCTCCTCTAGTTTATTGTTACAGTCGGGGAACGGAAGCACAGGCTAAGAATGGGGGGGTTTAACACAAGACACCTACAAGGTGCCTGTTAGGCATCATTAAAATCCCTGTAGAGATACGTAGGGGGGTTTTATACCTGGGGTCAGTTTGTAGCAAAGCTAAAAACCGATGCCATGTTGGATTTGATAACCCTGGGTACATTTCCTCCTTCAATACAAGCGTCGCAAAAGCATGTTAAATGACACAACCTCACACACTTCATTGTGTGCAGTGGGGCTGTGTATGCTTGCGATTGGATAATAATGGCCCTGGTAGGAATTTCTTAATTTACTGAGCGTCAGCTTTAAGTTGAATCCAGTGCTAAATAGCAAGCACCCTAATCGGAACAAACTGGACCCTTCTTAAGACAGTTCCTTCCCTCTGTAGGAGTACTACTGACCTGAAGCTAGTGAGGGGACACGTACAGGTGTGATGAGAGTGAGCTATCGCGTGAGACTAGAGTAGTAACGGAGGGGCACAAAGCAGGTTTGGATTTGAAGCACTGTGTTTCCAGCCCTTGACATCAGTTAAGATGTCTGTTTTATTTCAGTGCAACTATTGCAGTAATTTGTTTTTTGTTTTTTTTTTTTTCTCTTCCTGTCCTTCAGCTCTTGGGGAGATTTCTTATTGGATGCAATTCCTGGCCTTGTGTTTGATACAGCAAAAGAAGATGTGGCGCTGCGGACAAGCATACCAAGACAACTGCTTATGGTGAGTAGGTGGGACCAAGGGAATAATAGTGCATCCACCTGAAACGTCAGCACTGGGGCAAGCATGTGTCTCGTTGGCTTGCTCTGAAAGCTCAGTGCAATGGCACTGTCTTGTCTATCAGCACAGCCACTTCTTTGAAGACTTCAGGACGACTGTTCTGAGGGTTGTTCCATCTGAAGCATTGCCTAGTTCATTGCACTGCCTTTCATATCACAGTATCCTTGTATGGCTTGTTTCCTCCTAAAAGTAGTGGTATTGGCTTTGGAATTGTCAGAGCGGCATAGTTCCTATCAGGCCAGGCTTTTGAATCTTTAGAAGTTAGCAAAGCTGTAAATTGTTCTGTGACCTCTTTATGGTAGTCCAGTTGTGCTGCTGATCAGCTCATCAGGCTGCAGAAGGAACAAGTCTCTCTCTCTCTCAGCTACACTTGCACGTCCTTCAGCATTGCAGGTAGCCCCAGAATGAGGGGAAGTGAACATCAGCTTTGGTGTGTGAACAGCTCCTGGGCAATGTGTAAAAGAAACAGTTTGTGGTTTTGGGAGTAAATGTTACCCTTCGCAAAGCTAAAAAGAGGAGTGTCTGGATTTTCACTGCATTACTGCTCCTCTTTCTCTTTAGGCTAGTCTGTGTAGCTTGAATTCATGTGAGAACATCTCTGTGTGAATATTTAGCAGGTGGATATAGCTGACTCAACAAAAAAACTGAGTAGCCTTTTGAGAAGGCTTGCAGACCGCCTGGACAACACCAGCGAGCTGAGATCATCTGACATGAAGAAGGATTTCATCATGAACCGGTTGCCACCTTGCTTGGGATGCGACTCTGATCCTTTGACTCCAGGTAGGTTTTGCAGTTGCCAAAACTGGCTGAGGTGATGGTAGAGCTGTTGCTGACTCTGCCTCTTATGGCTTTGGTATTTTATGGTAGGCAGAGTTTATAGTCTAGCGTGAGGTTCATCTTGTGCTAGGCTCTTCCTGTGCATTTGTACACCTCGGCTGGTTAATTCCCCGTGACTAGTGGAAAAGATGACGTGTCTCGCTTAGAGTGAAATAAAGGTTATCCTATGAAATTGGCAGCTTTGATAAACTGCTCTGTACTGAGAATGTTTAACTGGTAGAATTTGTCCTTATGCTCTAGCTTGCTATTACAGCTATTTGTAGACTGTAAAGGTGAGAGAATGAAAAAAAAAAAAAAAAAACACCCTTTCTCCCCCCGTCCTGTCCCTGCCCCTCCCCCCCCCCACGAGTTTGAGAACATGTGGGTGTCGCAACACAAGTTAACAAAAAAATCTAGCCAAGAGAGAGCAGGTGTGCACAGAGGGCTCTGTTTGCACTGTTCATCTGATTTCCTTCCTTTCTAATGGAGAATTTATTTTTCTTAGGTGGGAAATTGCCAAAAATAGATAGCAAAATCAGACTGCAGTTTAAAGATCATGCTATCATTACAGTGGAACCAGATCAAGAGAATCCCGTAAGTAGAATGAAGCCACCCTTGTATGCTTGGGGGGGGAGTGTGGAGTGCGAGTTGTTGCTTTGTTGTACTGTCTAAAAGGGTCACGCAATTACACTTAACTGGATCCTGCATCCCATGAGGGTTTGTCAGGAGATGAGGGGGTTGTCGTCGAGCAGTAATACGGCACATTCTGGAGAAGAGCTACAGAACTAAATTTAGTCTGTGATTCTGCAGGGTAGCTGCCTGGCTTTTATCTGAGGTTAGATGGGATAGATCATTACAGCTGCTAAGAAGTGGCCTCTATAGCTCTTGATAATGGATTTTTTTTTATTCTTTCTATTTAAGAGCATGAATAAGTTATAAAAATAGGTTCCCTCAAGAGAGGGAATTCTCTTGGTTGCAGCTGCTGCTGACTGCGGTTGCATTTAGTCTTCACTGCCGAGTTATCTTAGTACCTAAGCCGGTGCCAGTGGCACTACTAAGTTGTTCCACAAAGTAGATGCTGGCATCTTGGATTTTATTGCATTCAGACTACTTCTTATCTATGAAGGTTTATTAGTATGATATTGTAGAAGTGCTTTTTGTTGTCTTAATAAAAAAAAAGGGGGGGAACAGGATGGACTGTCCTGTATAATTTTTTTTTTGCATGAGTAAAATGTTTTCCTCCAAGAAAAAACATAACTTCCTGATTTTTTTTTCTCCTCCATTTTGTTTGTGTCCATATTGCTGTGAGACTCTGTAGGTATTGGAAACTTCCCCCCTGCCTTGCTTTTTGATGTCATACAGCTAAACCCTGAATGACAGCATACATGCAAGATTGGTGTCCACAAATTCAGTGTGACACCTGCCCACAGAGCTCTGAATCGATTTGTACAACTTTGACCAAGGACTGATAAGAGGCGTATGATTTTTAAGAGACAGAGCAGTATCAGAATGAAAAGGTATTGAGGTACCTTCCCTAAGCCCTTCCAGGAAGCACACCTTAAATGGCCTGTTTTCTGTACACCATCATCAGGCCTGTGAGTCTGGTAGAGGCAGTGTTAAAGCAGAAGATTATAGGTTGTAAATAAATTTGCAGAGATGTTTTGGAGACTCCCTTATTGCTGTAGTAGATGGCTGTTGGCATGTTCAGTTAGGAAGGTGAATTGCTTTCATTGATGTAACAGTGGGCTCCAGAATTAAGGAGCTGACATTGTCCCTTGAGTGAGAGGAATTTGAGGGTGGGGATCATGTGTAACTGTTTTTTTTTCCTGCTGTCTTTTAGGATGAAATTCGCAGAGAGATGGTTTATGTGTATCATTCTTTAAAGAACAGGAGAGAGACTCACATGATGGGGACAGAAGACGATACGGCTAGCGAGGAGGGCACAGCACAGGTTTGTTCCCACAGACACACACCAAAAGCTGCGTTGCCGCATTGGGTTTTACTGTGTTAGAAGAACATGACTGTGGCCTGTGGTGGCAGTGGCCTGGGGTCTGCAGTATTCCTCAGCATCCAAAGCATTTCTGCCCCTCCCCAAAGTACCTGGATGAGCCAAGGCTGCAACACAGAAGCAGTTAGTACTAGAGCTAAGTAATGTAATCTCATTAATTAAATGTTTGACAGGATTTCTTGTGCGTGCCTCATGTCCTAGCCAGCAAAGCTACTGGAGTGGCTAGAAGTGTCTCTGGCTTGTGTTCCTTTAGCACATCCTTTGTTAAGGCTACTGGATACACTAGCACATGGCCAGCAGTAGCAGGGATCGCTGTGCCTCATGCGCCATGTTTATGCCATGTTGAACCCGTGTTAGATTCTGTATCTGCTGGAACATGCTGCAAGGTGAGGCTGTTCGTTTTAGGGTGGGGTGGGTCAGCATTGGGAGGAAAGAAAGAGTTGAGTTAATTCTTTTACTGAACTGTAAGGAGGGACCTTACTTGCTATATTGTTGAGGGCTGCAGCTGGCTTGTCTCCATTGTTACCCCATTCTTACGTGCTTTTGCCCGAATCTTAAATGCTCCTGAAGAGTGGCTGTGAGCTTTGGAACTTTTTTGTTCCACCTGATGATAGTAAGACACTCATCTTAGGTCTGTGACCTGAAAAACTTGAATACAGATCTGCACAAATACACTGTAGAGGCAAAGCAGAACACAGCCTGTTCTTGTCTCGGTAATTACAGCAAAGCTTTCTGCCTGGCAGTCACTTGCCTTTTAAGGAAAATGTCATTGGTTCTCTAGAGCACAGGGGTAGCTGAGGTTGTGTCTGATATGTACAAATCCCAGAATATACCTTCCTGCCCTTAAAGTAGCCAGCCATGATAATGGAGGTCCTCTGTGGGTCTGTCAAACTATGGTCCAAAGACAGACTGCATGTGCCAGATAACTAGGAAGAAACTTACATGATCTTCCAAAAATAATGGGTAGGGTTAGGCAAGAGTGTAAATTTAAAGTTAATTAATTCATTCTTCAGTGTGGAAACCACATGCACCTTAAGCCTCCCTCCCTCATAAGGTGTGCTAGAACATGTAAGAGATTTCGGCTGTTTGTCTGTTAAGAGGATAATACTGCATCTTTTGGGGGATGCTCTCAGAAATACCAACGTGATATGGAAAAGGATCAGTACCTGCAGCCTCACACACAACTGTGTGATAAGGGACACTGCACTTACTTAGCTGAAGCATTTTTTAACCTCTTTCCCCCCCCAGCAGACTCATGGACTGCGGTTTCCTTTGTCATACTTGGATGCACTGAAGCAGATTTGGAGCAGCAACACCACTTATGTTAAAGAGCTTAAGCTTACCTCAGATGAAGAGAAAGAAAACCTGGCCTTGTCGCTATGGACTGAATGCCTCATTGAAGTTATTTGATGCTTTTGTGAATGAGCTGCTGCTGTAAGTCAGTCGTATTTCTGGCCATTACAAATATCTTGAGGGAAAAGCAAATTAAATTACTTTTTTATCCATCCAGCCTTTGGTTTGTACTGCTGTCTAACAAAGCATTGCCATACATAGACTTCGCTCCTTGCTGGTGCAGATGTTACTTTTCTTTCCTTAGCTTTGGGAAAATGGGCATTAGGAGAAAGAGGTAAACTGCTCATTGGGCAATGAGCCACAGCTCCTGTCTGTGGGTGGGTGAAGTCACTCACAGTCACACCCCTGCTGCCGTATCCCCTCTCCTCTGGATGCATGCCTTGCTGTGGGGGACATCTAAAGCCGTACATGGAGCAGGCTCCAGGACCTGGGGCAAAAACCAGTAACTTGTTTTTTCCATTTGTAAAGTTCACCAGCAAGAAACCCCGTTTGTTCCCCCAGTAAAAGCTCTGTGCATTTTGTTTCCCAAAGGGGTAAGACTTTACCCAAGAAAACTGCTTTCCTCTCAGATACTGCCCCCCCTGGAATTAACAAACAATAGTATTTAACCTCTACCTCCTCTAGCACCAATTTAGTGTGAAAGTAACCCAGACCTGTAACCCATCCATCTCTTCAATGCTCACTTGGGTTGTGACAGGAGTAGTGCAGTTATTTTAATACTTGAACATCGTTGTTTAATATGGAAACTAACGTAACAGCACAGCCACAATAGCCAATACACTTACCCCTCTTTCGTCCATTTGAAAGGGAATTTTTTTATAGGAATGTGCTTGACAGCTGCCGAAAACTGTTGCTGTATTTCGTTTGTTTAAAAAGAAACCAACAAGCAAAACGTGCCTCCTAGAAAAAGTTTTATACAATTAAAATATACAGGCTTAGCATTTTACATTCAAGATCTCACTTTGTTATGTAACACTGACACACTAAATACAATTTAGCCATTCTTGGTTTAAAATACCAGAAATTTTAACACAGGCTTTTAAAATTTCATATGGAAAGCAAGTCACATGTAGAACACTTGATACATAAAAAACAGCTCAACAAGTGCTTTAGTTGGAAAAATATATACATACATTTGAAGATCTGTTACTTAAACCAGCAGATTTATGATCATTTTAGTATGTAAAATAGTAAGTGCAGGTAGATAGATAGTTTTTAAATAGTACTATACAGAACTCCATTTCATACAAAAATAGACATCCATGTATTTTATTTCTGTGGCAAACTTCAGCTTACCTGGTTTTATTTGTTTGGGGATGAATCCTGTTTGAATGCACAACTGGAATAGTTACAGCTTTTGTGAACTAAAGTATCTGTCTGTCTTTAGCTAACCTAAACTTTAAATAGTTATAGAAATACATACCCTGAATATACAAATAAGGAAAAAAAAATTAATTTTCAACGAAGTAGCTTAATTTAGTGATGCTGAAATCAAACGAAGTTACTAGTGACCTAAGGGACTTCTCTTCCACATCAGGTGTTCACAGCCCTATGAGCGTCTGGCATTCCTTCTGTCTGGGTCAGGGCTGAGCGAGGAACATGCTTTTCAAGCCTGCAGCAACTGCAGTCCAGGAAGGTATTTGGCCCCGTCTGACTCCAGGGGTGGCTGGCAGGCCAGTTGCATAGTGCTGAAATGGAGGAGAGCACCGGTGTGCCAAGTGCTGAACCTTTAGTCTAGGTCCTCATCTTCCAGGACAAGATGTACGCGTTGTTGAGGAGCTGTGCTAATGCTGACATGCAGTTACGCTGTTCTTTGAATATTAGGCAGGCGCTGAAATGCAGGCTGCTCGCACGTTTGAAAATACATAACTAGGGTGAATTACTTTCTGAAGGAAGACATGGTTTCAAGACCAAATTACATTGTATTAAATTAATCTATATACATCAAACCAAAACATGGCTAGAGTTAAAAACCATTACTGCTCTAAATGCAGCTAGCCCTTGTAGAAGTCCAGCCTGACCCAGGACCATTTGTTCTCTTTTGATACATGCACATATGGCTCCGCGTTAAAGGTGACCTTCGGTGATAACTAACTCAGTTTCATGGGTTGGAAACAGGCCATAGGTCAGCAAATCCAGTTCCTGAATCTGGAAATTTGGTATTATTAAAAGATGTGAAGACAAAGGCTGGCCAGTAACATGGGGGGGGCGTGTGTGTGTGAAAATCAGGCTTTCTCTACTGCCCCGTTTCACATGCCGAGCTGGTAATTCCAGTTCAAAGTTGTCTTTATGAGCAAAATAAATTGCTTTTTAGCACGATAGATGATTTGAGCTTCAGGATCGCTTGGAGCCTACCTACACAGTTGCAGTCAGGACACAGAAGTCCAACTCAAGCTCTTTCAAGCTCATTAGTGCATTCATTCTTCTGTGAGCTTCCATCAGTTTTTGAGGGGGCGGTAAAGACCACATTTCTAAAGCGCCTTTCCCATATTATCTCTTGCAGTTCATGTCCTGCAAAGCTTATGTCTAGGCTTTTGCATTTACTCTTCATCTGAAGCGTTGAAAGTAACAAGTGACTTTCATGGGAGCGGCCTCTAAAGCATCAGCTTCCCTGCAGAAAGACATCAGCTCAACCTTCCATCTTCCACATTTGTGCAAAATTCAGTCGTTTCAGGAGTTGGTGCTTGGTATGAAGGAAAGGAGAGAGGAGGTGCTGCTTAAGGTTCCAGTGGTGCCTGACTTACTTCAGTAGTTTTGGTTTTTTTTTTTCTCTCCCCTGTAGGTGTTAATAACCCACAGAAGGTCCATCTGTGTGGTGGGTTTTACTCACAATATTTCAATATCCCATTTTTGTGAATGTTTGTCATCTATTGGCTGATTCATAATGATGTGATTCTTGTCATAATAATTTCCTCCTTAAAAACAAAACAAAATCACAAAGGAAAAATTTTAAAAAGAAATGCTCAGAAAAGTCTATGCATAATCTTTAAAAACTGTGACCAAATAGGGAAATCAGCTGAAAACCAGAAATCCCACCAGGTAGGGGAGCTGGCGTCTGCCCCTCCGCCTCTGTATGTTTGCCTCCTTCAGATGGTCACTTGTCAGCATAGGCCCCGAGGAGCTCCGTTAGTTAGGGAGCAGAATACAGTGCAAACCAGAGTCCTCAAATGTACCTTTGTGCACAGAAGCAGCACCTCTAAAGAGATTCTGCTTTTGGCAGATCCTGAGCCCTCACTCTATGTCTGGATTTTTAAGGCGCATATCGCTACAGTAGAAATGCATAGGTTCACAGATACACGTGAGATGATTGTTTGGTGTAGCACATCCATTTCAACCACAAACTTATGAAGTCCTTAAAATAGAATTTCTCTCCTTTGAATATATGTAGCATAGAAATGACGGTGCATTTTTTTATCATTAGACCATAAATAAAAAAATCCACTGAAGGAAGGAAAGAAATGTTCTAAGGAGCTACCAAGTGGTATCTCGCCACCCCAACCTTCAACATTATACTTTGCAGTAACCTAGGCAGCACAGCTTTCTGATACTGTAAGAGCTGCCATTAGTGCTACCAGTTGCATTTAATGGCTTTGTAGTAACTATTTATGAACTAGTAATGGTGGTTAAACGCCTCGGTTCTGAAAGCCTGGAATGCGATCACAGAATCATTAAGGTTGGAAAAGACCTCCCAAGATAATCAAGTCCAACCATCAACCCAACACCACCATGCCTACTAAACCACTGCCACGTCTACACATTTTTTGAACACCTCCAGGGATGGTGGCTCCACCATTTACGTTGACCTGTCAGCTGAGAAGACAGCACCATAGAGCCCCCAGCCTCACAGCCAGCCACTGCAGTCACTGCCCCGCCACCCTTCCGTAGGGATAAAACCCTGGTGCCAGCAGCAGGGCTTGAACAAATTTTGAGGAACCGGCATTCTCCCGTGAGGTAGTTCTACCACGACAGATAACTAGAAGGACTAGGACTTGAGCAATGGCAATTTTAACCAGCCTGAAAACAGTAGGAGCGAGTGCTTTTCTCTTTCTGAGCCACACCTATTCTGTGGTTGCTTTTCCTTCACCATTTTGTCTTCTGTAACTTGCAGTTCTTGCCATCAGCACTACTGAACTCCTCGAGTAGAATAGTTGAACTCATCAAAAGAAACCTCTGGGACAAAACAAGTAAGATTCCCCGCCCTGTCCTGTTTCTTGTCCCACTGTCAAGCAACTGGACATAAACCTAACAGGAAAGATAGGATTGAATACAGGAAAGACTGGATTGCGTATTTAACTCTAAGCACAAAAAGAGCTGGAACATGGTAATTAACCTCAGTCAAAAAATGCACTTAGAACGTGTGAGGTTGAGTTGTTTTTTTTTTAAATACCTTTAATATCAAGCACCAGTTGGTCGCTGAGGTATGAACTGATGGTTCCATCCTCATTGAGTCTCCACTTTTGCCTGTCCTTCCCATGTTCTGCCCAGAGTGCGACTTTGGCCCCAGGCACATCTCTGCCGCCAATGACATCCAGACAGGCATTGTTAGCCTAAGGAACAAGGGGAGAAGTGAGATCCAGGCCACAAAGCCTCTGTTTTGTGTCCGACATGTTTCTGTTGCAGGCACCAAGCCTGTTGCGGTAATCATGCTACAGCTGGTAACAAGCCTGGCAAGCAAACTAGGGCCAGATTATTCAGCAATTGACCACTGGCTTGATCAAAGGTCTTTGTTACTTCAGGTGTTTCTTATGTTAAATCACCAGCTTTTTATATTAATAACAGACTATCAAGGGCAGCATTAATACAAAAGCACTTACTTTCTTCGTATACTACTTTTCAGAGAAAATCTTAATTCTTTAGAGGTAATAAACTCGCGACTTTAGACAAAACCAGGTTTCTACTTCCAGGAACATCAGTCCCATTAGACAGATGTGAAAATTAGTCCAACCTGCTAAAGCAGACAGATCAGACTTTTCCATACATAGGAGGAGGATGTAGGTTATAGGAGTTTTGGTTTAAGAGGCATGGGCGAGGCCAAAAGCTATCCTGGCGTTAACGCTAGCCGACAGTACAGCAAGAAGTGAAGGTGAAGGGGCAGCAGGCGATACGACCCACCCGCCTGCAGCACCTGGCAGCTCACCTTGGATTTGAGGAGTCCACGACAGTAGTGCCAGATCTGGGTATTCTTGCCACTGTATGGGGACGCGCACACTGATGTTGCTCTTATATCTGCCAGGCTTCCAGCAACTGTCAAGTATTTACCTTGAGCTCGGTTCTTCACTCTGAGGTACACTGCTGGCTGAAATAGTGTGAAAGGAAGACAATTACAGCACAGAGATTAAGAAAGTCGATGTGAGAATGCCTCCCCCTCCATCTTACATCAGTTTTTCTAAAGTATACGTTCCAGTTCCAGACCAGGGGT